GCCCCTGACATTATCACACGACTCCCCCGTGACAAATAACTGGGAGACCGGCGATAAGGAGTATCTTTTATCTAAGGACGAGATATCGTTGAAATCTTCTAGCGAATTCAAGACATCGCATCGCGTCGCATTCTGTCGCATAGTATCACGCAAAGAACCGTTGAAGAACGCATCAGTCAAAACTAACAGTTAAACATTTATACTTGAACTTCGATCGGCGTTTTCAGATTGGAATCGTGGCGGTTGTTTTTGTAAATAGATATTTCGGTCAGGAGCCGTTTCGGTCTGGTCGATCTTCTGATGAGATCGTATATTTTCGACCTGGGTATTTTTTGGTGAGTTGCAGAGTTATGATAAAACATAGGATAACAATAGAACTTGGTGAAGCTCATCCAAGAAAAATATTTAAATGAAAGGAAGGAGCTAATTTTCTTATGGGACTTATCACGCCTTACTTTACCGAGACGAGGATGATGCAGATGCGATTTTAATTTCTGTTTGTAACTCTCTTCTCCTGCTAAAGAGCATCTCTCTCGTGCATAAAACATATATATATATATATATAGCTCGGTATTATCGTACGTTGCATCATATAATTAACATTACAAATGGTAATTACTCATATGCACTACAAATAGCTGCCTTTTATCCCCATGTAATTTAACCGTATGTAAATAATTATTACCGAACGCAAACAGTATTTGATTAAGTGCCTTGTTTACAAGATACGACATAGACAAGATAGTATTTCGTATCTCGCTTTCACGCTACATTAAGGCCGAACTGTTCTGCTGGAGTCCGTCCTGGAAGTGTCTCTCGGGCATCGTTGTTCAAAGCCCACCTGTAACTTAGTCACGCCACTCGGTCGCGTTTGATAAAGTATAAATTAATACTGTTGCGGATAAAATCCCTCAAAAAGCACGAAATTCACCTTTCATATATTCGAATCGTCCGAAAAAGTTGCTCGACGACGGAGCTTAATGTCATTGTACTTCGCTGAAACAATCGATCGTTAAGTGTTATAACACGTAAACAACGTAATATCGCGTAACTTGGAACAATACACGTGCAAGGAGAAGACTCTCTTTGAACCGACCTACCGGAGAATTCACGATCATGAAAAAGGTACACACGAATGTAAACTCATATGACGACTTTTAATGCGATACCATTAGGAAGAAGTACGCTCTCGCTCGTCCTAATGTAAAACACGCTCTCTCCGCGCGCAACCTGCTGTAATAGCTTTCCGGTGTTACGTATATAATATGTATGAGGTCGAGAGAAAACGAAGAGATGAAAGAGCGAAACGAAGTGGAAGGCATGCGGGCTAGGAACAACCTAGAAGAGACACAAAACGGATCGGGAATTTAAAGTTTCTTAAAACCGATATAATTTCGACACGCGAATAACTTCGCATCGTGGTCATTTCAATTAACCCAGATAGATAGATAGAAGTGCGCGATTATCACGTTTCATCACATCGATGTGACGGTCATATTGTAACTTCAACTTAATACCTTTTTCAAAATCATTATGTAATTAACATAAATGGAAAAGATATACACAAATGATGTACAAATATGTGTGCACGTTCTTGGCTTGATTTTAATTAAGGCTATTTGGAATAATACACATATTAGATGAAATATTTTTCTGACATTATGACGTGAACGATATCTGAGCAGCATATGCGCATGCATTTGTATGCATTTTGAGATCATATTATGTCGATGCATGAACGCATGTTGAGCGCTACATGACATCATTTTGTTATCTAGGCATGAAGAGGACAAATCCCGAGGGAAAAAGAGAGAGAGAGAGGCGTATAATTTATTATTATTATTATTATTATTATTATTTATTCAATAAATGAGAAATTGAATACTCCTTTTAAAGCAAGAATCACATAGGTTATAAAACTACAATTGATGAGATAATTTTTTTTCGTATAACTCATCCTCCCTATGGAAGTATGGAATTTGTTGTGGTCACTGTGATTCCGTGCACCCCTATCGCCCTTAGGGATGATTTGTTGACTATAAAAGCGCGACAGTCGGCCTAAAGAGAATTACGTCGTGTTCATAGCAGGGAAAAAATTGAATTCGTTGATAAAATTATGGTTCTTTCAATCCGGACCGAATCCGATAAAACGAGGGGGTTTAGTTGGAAATTCAGAGAGCATATTTTCGATCGACCATGTGGAATACGCGGCGCCTACGCGTTGCTATGTGCTCATCATGAACTTTTATTCGCGCGTTTGGAAAGCCAATGTGCGTTTTCGAAAGAGTTCCTAAGGGGTGGAAGACGCAATGTCACGGATATTAACGATGAAATTTAATGTCCGCTGTTACAAATTGTCTCGCAACACGGCCTGACAATTGTTGCTGCCACGCGTGTTGTTAGAGATATTTTGCAATGTCCTGCATTTTATAGCAAAAAAATAATGAAAAGGAAGATTTATCGCCCGGTTTTTAATATGACCGCGGTAATATATCACGTCGGTGCGGAAGAAGAAAATTTATTTCCAAAACTTTTAACGACGAATTTATATATTTTTAAATGACGAAACACTCATCCAACGAGCGCGAGAGAGAAAGATGGACAGAGAGAAAGAGTGAGAGAAAAAGAGAGAGAGAGAAGGGAGATGTGGGTAACTTGAAAATCTTATTTCTTCGATATTTAAATTAGTAGAAGTGGATTCACTTTTTCTCTCCACAGCCGTATAATTTTTAAATCGCGTATATTTAAGCAAACATCACAGTTCCCCGGCTTTTAAAACTCATCTGCTTTTTTGTTGGCATATGTACGTGCCCACGACTACTTTCCACTTAGTCAGCGCGTTTAACGTGAAACACGGCTATTTAATTTTAAGTTTTATTTACCTAATATGCGGATTGCGTTTGCAGAGCATGAGACGCGGATCAAAAAATACACATTTAGCGCTAAATCCGCAACGAGAAAAGCTGGCATGCGCGAAATATCCCCGCGCCTACGATTACAGTATTTTCACTCGTAGCGCCGGCTCAGAACCGCCCCAACTTCCGCGGTTAAATTATCCGTGTAATTAATTAACTACAACTTACCAATCAACCGAGCACTTTACTCGCACCCAACTGATTGCTCGCGAGCTGAACTAATTACACCGTACCGTTGTCAAAGACGTCGGGCGATGCGTGTGTGAATTCCACTGGCGCCGCTCGTCCATTAACTCGAGATAAAGGGGAGCGCGGTCCCGAGAAAAAGCACACACTGGGATTCTCCACCGGAGAACGCTGAGATGGTTACGTCAAAGCCGCCTGTCAGGAATCACCATGTACGTTAGAACCGGAAGCTCTTCAAAGCAGTAGGCGAGATGCTGACGAAAAGCAAATGCGTGGGCGTAGAAAGAGAGAGAGAGAGAGAGAGAGAGTGGAGAAAGCAAAACATCTTAGCGACCGAGAAGCTCGCTTTCAAGAGTCAGGCGCGCGAGAAGAAGCTGATAAAAGTAGCAACTATGCCAGGACTAAGGATAAAGTAGTCCTGGCTGTGTTACGTTGACGACGCCTAAGGATGGACAAATTTTCTCACCTCCAACGAGAGAGAGAGAGAGAAAGAGACGGCGAAGACGGCGTCTTCTCGCAGTTGCATAAAACGGCGACGACGTCTCCGTAACGTACGCCGACGTTTTAATGGCGCATCCATTGTTGACGGGAGTTCCGCGCGAGTTAGACTGCTTCCTTCTTCGCGGAATGTAACGTGTCGGTACGGCGAAGTTAAGATGAACCTTTGAAAGGTCGCTTCGAACGTTCGAACGTAATATACATATATATATATATGCGCACAAATGTTCTTGATTCTCTCTTTATCCATAAAAAAAATTTCCTCTCGGCACGACGCACGCGGAAGGATACCATTGAAAATACGAAGATACGGAGAGCGTGGGAGCAAAGGAGCTTGCCGCGGCGAGCAGGGAAAATAAGATTGTTTGTTTTGCCGGATACCTGCGCGCACGGAGGCACAATGCGATTTAATGCGATGTGCCAGGCAACATTCTCTTCCTCATCGTGATTCGCCGGACGACGGAGGAAAGAGAATCGCGATAACGGTCACGACGACGGTCTAATTCGTGTTCTTCAGCGGGCAAATCCGCTTTCGCAGCTGAGACTTTGAGCCTGCTCAGCCCCGTTTGAAAACCGCCTGCCTGATCGTGGCATCCAAGATTTCTAGATCGTCCGTTAAGGATAACCGACCCTGTTTCCCTCAGCGAAGATGCGAAGAGCCACTTCGATGAACGAGAAAGGACAATGCTAGCTAGCGGTGGAACAGGGATGAGCGAAGAGGAGAGAAGACGAGACGAGAGGCAAAATGAGAGAGACATAGAAGGAGACTAGAATGGAGAACTGGATCAACGCAGGCGCAAGAGCTATCCCATTCCAGCATACGAGGCGTTGCGACGCCTTTTCGCTTCATTCGGCGTCCGGACGCCAACCACGCCGACGTTTCTGCGAGATCGCGCGACGCGCACCGCATTCGCACCACCATCGCCACCACCAGCATCGTCTCCACCGCATCACCGTCGCATCACAGGTCGTCGTGCCGTTCGCGAGGGAAACCGGCGCAACTGTAGAAACGGCCCGGGACGATCGAGGCGAGGGGAGATGAACGCGAGCGAGAATTAGCTTATCGCTAATCAGCGATCCATCGCGCCCGAATGTAATTTCAGTCGGCGGCATTCGACCGATCAGGAGAAAAAGGGGGAGAGAAAGGGAGAGAGCCTCTCTCTGAGTGCTCGGTCGAAGGGGACGATAATCCGAGCCCGGTGGCGGCAGCGAGAGGGAAGTGGAAAATCGCAAGCGGATGTTTGTGCACTTCGTGGCGGATTGACGGTAATGCTCGATTCGTGCCCGAACGCTCGCGTGACACTGTGCGCGTAGGAAAGTGCTTCCACGGTATTCGCGGATCCGTCGTATTACGGCAGGGTGCGGCGTTCGCGATTAGCAACCGGAAGTCCCTCCCACCGGGGTGACACGTGTTACCGGTCGCACGTGACTCGCGCGACGTTCTGAGAAATCGCGCGCGAAATCCCGCTTTGGAAGGGACAGACTAATTTTACCTCGTCTCGGCCGCCGATTCGCGATATTCGCGACGATTGAACAACGTCGAGCCGTGTCTTCGAAATTTCGAACCGTCGTTGAAAAATACGAAGATCGTTTGCGGGAGACGAGGACGCGAACCAGGCGCTAAAACGAGAAGGAGAATCTCGGCTCTTTTCTTCGTGCGCGACGTCTCACTTTGCAGTAGAAAGCACGAGCTTCATAGTACACGTCGTCGATGTTGAGCTAAGTGCACGTTCGCGCTTTGGAAACGCCGAGACGCACTTGAACAATACGCGCCAAATATTTCGTAGCGTAGTGTCGCCCCTTTGAAAAAGTAAAAGTTTTATCGAAGGTATACTCGACTATGATCGCTCGCGTTGGATCAACGAAGACACTTCAAACGTACGGTAACTCTACACCCTCCCTCTCTCTCTCCACGTGGACGAGAGCGAGTCGTCTCAAAGTTATCGCGTGATTTCCAGTTCAAAGATTCCAAAAGAGTTATCACGTTTCCTCGGCGTTGAGCCGACGGAACTCTTCCCTCCCGGCCGTGCGTAGTCAGCCGGAACTGTCAAGCGGATCGACGATGTGACGTATACATATACATGTATTTTCATTGTAACGAACGCGACGCGTGACGGAAGAGACAACGAAACGACGTCTTCCCGTTCTCTCTCTCAGTGAACTGTGCCAAATACTCCTGTCTATACAGATCTTCCCTGACGTTTCACCCCGAGATAACTGATATTGACAGCGTCTAAAAACGTTAAACATTGGGGGAAAATCATTCGGATAACTATTACGGTTGATCTGACAGTGTGATAACTTCTAGTCATAGGTCCGATTAGACGGCCAGCGGATGTAGTTGTTCGGACGGACTGCCGACGTCGATAACGTCGTAGCATGACTATCGTTGATATAACTTCGTGTGATAACGTGGTTAGAGTAGATCGCTATTCTCTATCAGAATCCGGCCACAGCAGAGAGAAAATTTCGGCCCGTCAACCAGTCGCTCGAGCAACGTTCTTCATGACACACGTGTCACGAAGCCATGTCTCTCGCGTAGACGATAATCCGGTCGAGAGTAAGCGAAGCTGCAAAACGCGCGGGAGAGAAAGGTTTTGCTGACCGCTCCTCCTAGAACTACCCTTTACCGGTGCATTTCGATCGCCAGCCGAAGATCCACCCTCTCCGCGAAGATGAATTCCAGTCTCAGCTATGAGTCGAACGACAACTACACGTCGACGCCGTTGGAGCACGCGGACTTCACGTGCGGCCCGAAGCTCGAGTCCTTCCACAACAGCTACGCGTTGGTGCACGGCTGGGCGAGTCTGCAGGTGTGCATATTCGGCTCGATCGCCAACGTCCTAAACATCGCCGTGCTGACCCGTCGCGAGATGCACTCGCCCACCAACATGATCCTCACCGGCCTCGCGGTAGCCGACCTCCTCGTAATGATCGAGTACATACCGTACGCGATACACATGTACCTCTATCAGCGATCCCGCAGGGACACCTTCACCTACAGCTGGGGCATCTTCGTGCTGTTCCACTCAAACTTCGGCCAGGTGTGCCACACGATCTCGATCTGCCTGACGGTGATGTTGGCGATCTGGCGGTACATCGCGGTCGCGTATCCGCAGAAAAACCGCGAGTGGTGCAGCAACACTCGCACCGTGCTCACGATCGTCGGCGCTTACGTGTTCTGCCCGATACTGTGCGTGCCGCTCTACGTCACCACCGAGGTGAGGCCGCACGTAGAGGTGTTGGACAAGCAGGGTATGAACGTGAACCTGACAAAGCTCAACGGCACTGCGTCGCTCGAGGGTACGACCAACACCACGCTGTATTTCGTCAAGCTCACGGAGACCGCAAGGATGCACGCCGCACTGAAGAAGATGAACTTCTGGATCTACAGTGTGGTGATCAAACTGATACCCTGCCTGGCGCTCACCGTGCTGAGCTTCAAGCTGATAAGGGTGCTGGTGGAGGCGAAGAGGCGGCGTAAGAAGCTCACCACGAAGAACAACGACATCAAGATGAGTAACGGCAAGAACGCATGCGAGAAACCGTGCAAGAAGAAGCGGAAAGGCACCGATAAGGAGAAGCAGACTGACAGGACCACGAAGATGCTGTTGGCAGTGCTCGCATTGTTCCTTATCACGGAGTTCCCGCAAGGCATCCTGGGATTGTTCAGCGTTGTTCTGGGCACGAGTTTCTTCAATACATGCTACGTCATGTTGGGTAAGTTTCACGCGTGTCAGTATCGAAATATGTTTGCGTGTCCACGGTAATTCGATGAGAGATAATTCAAGTCCCCGTTGAATGTCTAAATTTCGAAGCGGAAACCCGCTGTTGCCCCGGTCGCAATAGGTTTTGATTCAAACGATCGCCAGGATATCTGGGCTTTTTTATCATTGTATTTCACGTAGTTGCTTATCCAGTTTTTATCAATATTTCTAGTCGGATACGTATCTCTCTCGATGTTTAACTGCGCGCATAATATTCAACTGCAGCACGCCATATCGGGAATATTTAAAATTCTTAACGAATATGTGAATTTTTTACAATTATATTCTTTATGGATCTTTGGTTAGTCTTTCTCTTCATTTATTTTAATTATCGGATTACATGCGCTTTTGCCGTTGTACCTGCACGTGAATATCGTATGCTAATTAAATATTTCTGAATCTGACTCGATTTCTTTTTCTTTTCTTTCATCCGCTGCGAGTCCCTCGCAAAGCACGTACAATTACATCGTGCAGACAGCATTGTACGATTTTCCTATAATTAACGACTGTGTTAGTCAAAATTTAATCGCAGCTAAAAGAATAAAGGCTCACGGGTATAAATTTCACGAAGTACTACCGTGGAGAAAATCACCGAGTTAAATCTTGTAAAGGAAACGCTACCTTTGCGTTTTAATATCTTCGTAATACGCGAGACCCGGGGAAAGCTCTCGAACAAAAACTTTGTTATTTAAAATCTTCCCTACAAGTCCGGGAAACTCGCGAATGTCGCCGATTTCATCGAGAAATATCGCGGCGGATTACGTGTGGAGACAAACACAAAGGACTATTAAACTGCACGGATTAAAAAAGAAAATCAATTTAAGGATTTATAGGATTATAAGATTAATAGGTGATATAAGTAATGTCCACTTTGTCGATCCTCGACACGTTACGAAAGTCTCTTTCGTCATTTTGTGGTTACCCAAGTCGAAATTTTAATGCCACTCTGACGCTCTTAAGGATATTTTGTGCCCACTATGAGCCTATAAGCTAAAAACTTATTTTGACAATACTGACACTTTTCGAATTCTTTCTTGAACTTTTAATTCTACAGATTGAATTCTAATGCTACCTTCAGCAACCTATTTTGCTAAAATAGAAAAAGCGAAAATTTAAGGCATCATCAGAGTTTAAAGTAAAGATTATATTATATTATTAGAATCGGTGATAACGATCGGCGCATAACGATGTTTAATTCATACACGGTCATTATTCTTTATTATATGTCAATTCATCCCTATTAAAAATACATAACCATTTTTTTACAAAGAAGATGTAACCACTCTTGCTTTAACGAAATACTGAAACAGTAGCTGGAGAAAAGAATTATACTGACAAAAATTCGTACCGACAGATAAATTCGTGTGCGCGCGCGTGATCCGGAAACAAATCCGGGCGATTTGGTTACAGTGACGAGAATCAGCACGGAAATTTCTTCGATCTCTCGAGCATTCGCGTTGTAAACCTCGCGCGGATCCGTCTACGATCGTGAAGCGAAACGTCTCGAGTTCGTACGCGCGCTATAAATAGAAGAACGTTGTCGCACAACCGACGTTTACGCGGTGGAACGTATAAAACTTGAAGCATAAAAATTCAGATTAGGATCAGTGGGCTACCCGCTGCTCGAAGAATGACAGTCTGACATATAATATTCTTGCAAGGAAGTTCTTATTAAGCGCGATCTTTGCGTCGCAGGTAATCGTTACGACATCGCGCGAACGTGCACGCGCGGAACAATAATTCATCGACGTTCTCTCCTTCATTAATCGGAATATCTGAGAATGTACGACCTTTAAAAGCATCGGGTTTTCTTGAAAAGTTCGCGGCCGCTAGTTGGAAATTTTTCACCGGAAAACCCCCAGGTAAGAGAGAAAGTCAAGGAAGATGGAATCTTCAAATTTACCCTCGTTTCGCTCCCCGTGGCACGGCGGAAGCGAAATCATTACGTTCGACGATAAATTGCAACGTCGTGTAAAGGAGGAACGAAAAGTATGTCGCGCGCAAAACGTTCTGCACGATAAGTGTTTTCCACGGTGTGATTTAAATAGCTTGTAACACTTTATATTTACACGGTGATCGAAAATCAGAAATCGGAAAAGGAACTTATTGCCAGATATCGGCGATCTGCTGACATCTCACGCTACTTGGTAGTCTGGAATCCCGCAAAGAAAGTTCGGATCTACCGCTGATTCGCCGTCGCGCATTAAATAAAATCCCGTAAATTATTTCAAGAAACAACCCGCGGACATACTTCTCATCGGAAAAGCGTGTCTCTGTCGTATCCTGGAGGAAGTTACGGTAACTCATCTTCCAAGTCTTCGCATTATCAGTCTTTTCGATCTCAGTGATCTAATTACGGAGAACACGCTACGTGTACCTATTTTTTGTAAAATAGTTATACAGATAAGCTGATATATAAAGCTGACTTTATTTTGATTTAGAGCTCCGCGCACGATTCATGAATATCCTTCAGTCACGAGCTTCTTCTCTGCTCAATAATGTTGGTTAAATATAAATTGGGGATTTGGTGGTGGAGAGTAAATCACGTCTGACGAGATGACAGAAATACGTAAATCTTCATTAATTTCATCTGACGGATACTTAACGAGAAATTTATGGTTCTTTTAGCACATGACCGTTTAAGTGAAAAATGTGATTACCCAATAAACACCAACTAATACTCAACAACGTAACGGTTACATAATGCATGTATTATATTGCACTTACATTGTTGAGTGGAAAATTGATATTATGTTACTGTTAGTTGTCCGTTTTGTTACTGAATAGTCTTATGAAACGGCATTATGCACGACTGAAAAATAGATTGAATATTCGGAAAATCGATTATTCCGCTGCGGAAATAGTCGGGCCTCGCAAAATATAAAATCCCGCGAAAATGTCCACAAATATTTTATGCTATTAAAAAAAAAATCTCCATCCCAAAAACGTGACGCTTCCCAAATTTCCGCGAGTTCTGCGAATGACAGGCGATTTTACACGTATTTCTACATGGATTCACCTGTACATCCGCGCTTTTGATATGCAACTAGTGTCGAGTTACAGTAACATTGTTACATTTGTATTCTATTTCCGATTGGTGTATTCTGATTAACATGTGTACTTTCGCCAATGTGTGGCCGTATACAAATGTAGCCTCTATATGTTGCGAAAGCAAAGGCCACCTAGTATTATGTATTCAACGCGTCGATGTCCTTTATACGCCATACGATGCACACACTCCCCTCACTCCCCTAACCAAAATACGGGGATCTCTGTGAAATACAAATTTTTTCCTGGTAAGGCAATACGAAAATTTGTAAATGTTACGCGAATATCACGAACACGTTAATTAAATGTCAAACGTCAGATTCGCCACCGATCCTCTTGCAATTCAGCTTGACTTAGTCGTTCAGCAAACGTCAAGTGCAGATAATTAAAAATTTTTAACGTAAAAATTGAAAAAAGAAGGAATCCTTGGAGGAATTGCTCGTATAATTTACATAGATATTCCTATCATCGTCACCATATATGCAATCTGAATATATTTCAGGAAAAAACAGTTGAAAAGGAAGTAATTGGATCGACCAGACTCTGTTTACGCGATTCATCATTTTTACATAAGGTCGAAAGTAACGCGCACCCATTTTTGCATAAGACTAATTAAACTTTTGCACCCACAGTAACACTCCAGCTGAAGTTTGCTGAAACTAATTCCACGCTAGTTTGTTCGAATACACTGAGTTTACAATCCAGCCAGCGTAAATATATTCCATTCGCTAGTTCATTAACACAAATGGAATATACTTCGCCCAACGTGCGCGATATCGGATCCCTACGGTGGTCGAATTTCGATACGTAGTTAGGCACGGAAAAGTCGAAGACGCGGAAATTTCACGTCACGTTCTGCTTAGTACCATATCGCAAACGAGCAAACATCTTTATAAAAGTAGTATGTATATATAAGGTGTCTGAAACCTTTCTTAATATTCGTGGTGTGTAGGTTGAACAGTTGAAACTGAACAGAAAAGTCATGTAATCTATTTAGTTTCACTCATTCTATCTGCACATCACCGATACCAAGAAAAGTTTCTGACACCCTATATATGTATAAATATATCGAAGTCTACGGAAAAAGAAAATTTACGCTGCATGCAGCAGTTATTTGCATACATTGCTCTACTGCCGAAAATCCGACGGGCGTTTTAACGCCGCGCGTTCTTGTACACATTTCAAAGGATTATTCTGGCGAGGCGCCAGAATACACGTGAAAAGAAAAAGGAACAGGTGCTGTAAATAAGCTACTTGCCGGAGAAAATAGTTCACGAACAACGGCGAGCGATATGATGCGATGCGGCGTGAGCGAGAATAGAAGATTGTCTATATTGGAAGTAAGCAGTAATAAATAAAGAGCGTCTATATTGGAAGTAAACACTATTAAATAAAGAGTAGAATATTGATTGATAATAAGTGGCTAGTAGTGAGGCAGTAGGAAGTAGGAAATAAGAATAATCAATTTCGCTTACTCCCGGTGTCACGCTTTGTTCCACTGAATAAACTCTCTTACTCCTTACTTCGCAGTGTCGTTGCCTCCTTTGTAAACGATTCTTAAAACTCCAAGCGCAAAATGCGTTGCGATTCGCGCAAAATGTCACGCCTGATTAGCATAACAACAGCCATGAATAAAAAATAAAAATAGAAACGGTAGAAAAAGGCGCAAACAGAAGCTCCGGATTAATTACCTTGCGCGAAGTGGCGGTCTCGAAATCGTCCAATAAAGTTTAACCGCGCTACTCGATCGTTATGACGAACGCAATAACAACCTGTCGGCATAATTCACGCCGGCGGTACATTTATGGCTTCGGAGCTGTTAACTTTCTCGCACTCATAACTCAACCGAGCGCGTGCTATCGGCCACATAAAGCACATTATACGGCACTTCGTATTGAATGATAC